TTGACAATTAGCAGAATAATTATGCTTACTGTAGAATAAAATTTTGCTCACCGTAAACATACAAGACATACTAAAGATTTCCCTTGTTACGTCCTTATTAAAGTTAAGCAAATGTTTCCTCTGAGGTACGTGTGCCTTTGCTGTGACTGCTGATTATGGTTTCCATCAAATACGCAGAGCTTATATATTAGTGTAAAACTAGGTGCTTTGCAGTGCTGTGAATTGGACCCATGTCTCAGTCTTGAGTCACCTGGGGTTAGTCTACATGTACATAAATGTACCGTTTCAGAGTCCTAAGTCATTAGAGTCAAGAATTAAATCATGTCCCAAATCACTCAGGTCAAGCCCTAGTCCAGAACTACCATAGACTTTGTCAGCTATACTGACATGGATCTAAATGTTCTAATTCATGAAAACAGTGGCGTCTGTGAATCAATTTATAAGACACATAAGTTGATACATACATGTGTAAGACAAAGTTAGCATACCACTGTTCCGTCTGACTTTTTGGTTTGTTGTCAAGCTGTGAAGTAAATACTGCCTATGTAATACCCATTTCTGTACCTCTCTCCCTCCGTCCAGCCGTGCGCTCAATGTTCAAGTTTTTACTTGTGCATATAATACGTGTCATTTGCTTACGTTGATTTCAATCTTGAGTTTATTAGCATCAGATCTTTATGTATGCAGACATGTCAATTACAATGCATGACACACATGTAAAGGGAGACAGGTGGGTATGATGGGATAAGGAGAAGAGTAGATAGGATGATGGGATGGGATCAGATTGAAGCAGGAGATGGGTGAGATAATGGGGTGGAAGTGGAATCGGAGATGATGGGATGGGGAGGCAGAGTTGGAGATGGATAGGATGATTGGATGGGGCGGAGTAAGAGATGGATAGGATGATGGGATGGGGAGGCAGAGTTGGAGATGGATGGGATGATTGGATGGGGCGGAGTAAGAGATGGATAGGATGATTGGATGGGGCGGAGTAAGAGATGGATAGGATGATGGGATGGGCAGAGTTGGGGATGGATTCAACAAAGGGATGGGGTGTGAAACCTTTAAAAATGGCATTCATTTTACATCCATGTGTGGTCATTTATCAGCCATTTTTCTTTACTTGCTGTTTTTAAAAAATTTAGCGAGTGTGCACCTGCTTAGCAGGATTCCTTGTGTGATTTCAGTGGCATTTGTAATTTGCATGGATGACTGAATATGAGCTACTAAGGTAAAGAAATTGAGATTCATAGAAAGCAGTGAGCCATGGCTGCTGTGCTGTTCTAGAGTTTTTTCTTTTTCAGCTTCCTTTCAAACTTTGAAGGTACTTACATCAACAGAGGACTATTTTGTGATGTCATGATGACATCATCATATATCTGATTTTTTTAATTTGAGTACGGTAGTAAGTCCAGTTGCTTTTAAACATCGAAGGATAGAATGTCTTCCTAATGATAAATCTATAAAGACCTGAAATCTCATTGTTTGATTTTCATTCAGTCTCAAATTTTTTAAAATTAATTTTGTACTCACAACTTCTCTCACTGTTCCAACTCAAATCAACTTGCAACTTAACAGATTAAGAGCATCACGATGACGTCATCAGGTATCACATGACACTGACTTAAAGATGCGGATTTCAGTGACATATATCTGGAGAAATTCGCATCTGATGAAGGAAAGAATTGGCGTGGTTGTAGGCAGGAGCATACTGTATGTGAAAATTAAAAAATGCCTCTAAACCTCATTTTCAGAGAAGGGGAAACATCATGTGGTTGTGGTCCACAGAGTGTCTTCCCTTCCTGTATCGTGTGTTATTGTGTTATCGTGCGTTATTGTGTTATCGTGTGTTATTGTGTTATCGTGTGTTATTGTGTTATCGTGTGTTATTGTGTTATCGTGTGTTATTGTGTTATCGTGTGTTATTGTGTTATCGTGTGTTATTGTGTTATCGTGTGTTATTGTGTTGTCGTGTGTAATTGTGTTATCGTGTGTTATTGTGTTATCATGTGTTATTGTGTTGTCGTGTGTTATTGTGTCGTAATTTGGCAATTCAGTTTTGCCCATCTCAACTCACAGCAGGCTGACCTGGACAGTGCACAATTGTCCAAGAAAAATATTGTTTACAATTTAAGATAAATTACACAAAATTTGGCAAGTTCAAAACTTCTGAAAAATATTATCTCAGCTATAAAAGTGACATAATCACACTGTGGCCTAATTTTTGATGTGTCAAACAAAAAAATTATAACATTCCACACATTTCGATATAGAATAAAAAGAAACAAGAAGTGTAAGATTAAATTAAAAATGTAAATCAAACTAAACACAAACATGATGCGCACAAATAATATACATATATATGCTAGGTTTGAAGTTAAGCAATCGGCCAGGGAGCATGTGGGCCAGGCGGCAAGTTGGCCAAGGGATGAGTTGGTCAGGAGGCGAGTTGACAAGGGGGCAAGTTGGGAAGGGGCAAGTTATTATTGAAGGGTGAGTTGGTCAGGAGGTGAGTTAACAAGGGGACGAGTTTGTCAGGAGGCAAGTTGGTAAGGGTGAGTCAGCCTGGTGGGCAAGTTGACCCAACACTTGTCCTCTGTGGTAGTGAAATGCAGGCTTGATTTACGTATGTAGTATGCTCCTTTGAGCCCATTTCAGTCATATTTTTTATGAAATCTTTGTGGGGTACAGAAAAAGAACCTTGTGGGATTCTTATCTTTGTGGTACCCAACAGAAAACCATACATGCATGCTCTTATTTAAACATTTAAAATGGTCCTAGCTTTTCTGGATAACTGAGGGTACTGTTGCCATGGTGTGAATCAGGGAGGACACATTTCCATTACATGTTGTTTTGTTCAAATTGTGAATTTAAATTTCTCATTGAAAACATTACTAAAAATTGCTTGGTTTATTTCAATGCCCTTTAAACAACAAAGTACCATCAATGGAAATTCTAGAACAGCAAAATGTCGCAACTTTCTGCGGATTTTTGTGTGCACAGAAGTCAGAACATCAGTGTTTTCTCCTGGGAGTACATCATAGTTTTTCTCATGATTTTTTCGAAATTTGCATTAACATAAATTCTCAACAGGGACCAAAATACCTTTGAAAATATCAACAAAAAGACAGGAAAAAGGGTAAATATCACATATAGGCGCATTTTCAAGGTGTGTAGTGAAGCAGTGAGCCAGTTGGGTTGGGTAAAAAAACTATCAATTGAGAACAAAACATGCATGTAAGTCCACATACGACACACTGCTCTCCCCAAATGATCTCAGATATGCTTCATTTGAGGATGTTTTGTTGAAAAACCAAACTGGCTCATTGCATTTGCATGGATCCTTTAACTGTATGGCTGTTTCAACAGTTGTGGTTGTCTTCATATATTGACAGCTGGATAGCTGCCAAGGTAGATAGATCACTTCGGATACTTTATTATTGCATGCAGTCAGACCAAAATCAGAAGTCTGTCAGGGAAAAAAAACAGTTTGTGTCCAAGTCATTATGTTCTTTACGTGTGATGGTGTAGCACAACATGTTGACATCATATCAAACTGAGGTGAAGTAAGTACAAGTGACAGTGTGAAATTTGCCTCAGGTAAACTAGTCCCATTCAATTGGTATGCCTCTTAGTGTGATATGAGTAGCAGCAGGCACTAAGACTTGCTTCCACTTTCCTGTAGATGTTTACAAAGAAAGTTTTTGTACTCTGTTACTTCATGTGCACTCATTAGAGTTGCATGTACTTTGACTGGTGTAAAATGTCATCAAAACATTTAGGCTGCATGTCAACTGTGCAATTTCACTTATCTTATTGACAAAACAAACATTGCAATGAGGAAGTGGCTTGTGTAGTATTTTGCTGGGGGGACCAAGTTGGATTTTGCTGACGGATGTGGTGAAGGATGCAGTGGATACCATTGTAAAGATTGTGCATTAACTCCAAATGTATGTACAGTACATGTATGTTTCTTTAGTCCAGATAGATATTGTCCTGTTTTCTAACTCTGATAAATAAATAGTCTCTTCAATTTCAAAACAAGTATTTTATCTTACATGTATATCTGCTTTCTTTATGACTGATCGTGAGTTGTGTTCACCCTTTCAAAATTTTTATCCGGCCATTTTATGACATTTAATTCAAAGAACAGTTTGACAATCTTGTTAAACAACATGCTATTTAATATCTTGTTTATTGTAAGCAAACATTTGACAAAAAGCTGACTGACCGTGCTCTCTTTGCACAAAGTGACAAAAGTCACCCGCTTAGCAGGGCAGACGGAAGGGCACCACAGGTTGTTCTGCATAAGTTCGGATGCAAAGCATATATATGTGTACGTGAGCAAATGTTGAAAAACAACACATGCACACATGTTGAAATGTAACAATAATGTAACAGTATGCCAGTTTGGAATTCCAATAGACCTTTTTCCTGTGATGTCACGATTGTGCTGGACCTATGATGTGTTGTGATGGTAATGAGTGCATAGTGTGGTAATTAATCTACCTATTCAAGATAAACTGGTCAAGCATGCAGTATTCCCACATGCACTTGCATGTGGTTGAAGCTACCCATAGGAATATATGCGATCCCCGTGGCCAAGGCAATCCACACGTGGTGGTATTGTTTACATTTAGTCACGTTATGCCTAAAATGAAGCTCTTCCAAGGTCAGTCAGATATGTGCTTGAGGAAGGTGTAAAAGGTTTCCTTGACTGTTCCTCCTTTTACGACAGATAACCAAAACCCCCAAATGCCTGTAAAATTCTTTTCAGAGAAGGGAAATGTCTTGTGAACTTGGGTAAGTCCACAGAACGTCTTCCCTTCCTGCATCATGTGGACATACTTTGTTCACAAGTCCTCAATAGGTATGTAAGGTTAGCGCACATGGCTGTTTTATCATCTGGTGAGGTTGATCAATTAAGAACTGAAGCTTTAAGTGATGTAAGTATAGAAAGTTTCATATTATTGGCCCTGCTTTTATTATATCTCCAACAGGCGGCCAGAGACATCATTCTTGTGGTTCACATCACCTTGGAAAACCCTGAAGTTCATCATCTGGCACAACTACAAATGGTACATCATTGGCTTCCTGCTGGCTATTATACTGATAGCATTTGTGGTCCTCTTCATCTACAGTGTTCCTGGAGTCTCAGTCCAGAAGATATTTGGTGCAAAGTAGTATGCCCAGAGTGTAATGCTGGATTGGGTGTCAAGGTATTGTCCAGTTTGTAAAAAAAAAAAGAAGAAATTAATCAAGTACAATTCCAGTCATATTTTGAGCTTCAACAAAATATAAACCACATTATCATTGTTTTTGATCATGATGAATGGGATAATTTTTTTTAGAAAAGGTAGATCTGAAGTATGTATCCATTCTGATGACATGCATGCAAGGTCATTTAATTTGAAACAGAAAATAAAACGGTTCAGAAAAAATGATGTATTAAGAAGCATTTAATGACCTAGAAGGCGCATAATCCTGGATGACTACAGCGTAAATGCAATTAATTGAATTTGACCAATATTAGGAAATGTACATGTAATTTGCAGCAAGTATAACAAAACATAGTCAAAGGAATGTAACTTAAGAACAACAGCTGGAAGACAAAAGTATGAAGTTGTTGTATTATTTTGGGAGAAGGGTTTCTTTTAGAGGATTGTTGAGAGTAAGTCAGCCATTAATTTGTAGTAGTCTTCCAGAAAGAGTATATTTTCTTAGTGTTATTGATTGTGGTATTTCTACTTTTGATAATACTTTGGCGTAGAATAGATAGGTAACTATATAGCTTGAGGGATGTTCGGTAATGGTGATACACTGTGATTTGGATTTATTAAAGTATACTTTGATCGAATCTGAAAAAGTTTGATTTCATTTTGTTTAAAATAATTCTCCCTTGACAGGCAGTGTTTGGTCAGGTTCATTTTTATGTGAGAACAGGTGCACATCTGAGGTTCATGAGTTTGCAAAGTGGAAAAGAAACATTTGAAAATGAATTAGTCAGTCAAGAACATTAGATTTATTCCATTTATTCAGGTGCGAGTTGATTTCGCAGTACAGTGCTTCCAGATTTACATGGATAAATCTAGTTATTTTTGTAGATTGATATTAGTTGAGAAATAAGACTTTAAATCAAATCTTGTGTGCCTTTGTAGAAGAAAAAGAAGTGTATTAGTCAGCAGACGTACATAGAGCATAATTGTAGATTTCATAATATTTGTTGTATTAATCAAGTATATGAAAATGCTTGCTAACAATCATGCAACATTTGGATTGGATAAATGAATTATCATAATTTTGTCACTGTAATGAAACTATTCTTTAATGCATGTACTTCGACCAATATAAAATTCTATTGTCTAATTTCGTTTTGATGTAGAAAATTCTATTATCCAATTTCGTTTTGATGTAGAAAATACTATTGTCACATGCACAGATGGAATATATATGAGCTCTACCCGCAGACCTTGCACATTTTTAGAAGCTGTCCAGAGCCAAGGGTGTAACATTTCTTCCCTTCAATGTCGTCCATTTTCGGTCTTCTTGGCCATTTTCGTGTAGAAACAAAAACAAAAGGATAGGTTTCACTAATTCATTCAAATTTTGATCTTATTTACTTCATAAGAGGAGATTTTGTTGGTTTTTTTTTAATTCATCAATGATTTTACAGCAATTATTCAATTCTTAGTTCATGTTTTGTGTTTGATGCTTGAGACGGGATGATGCCTCATGCATTAATTGAAGTGTTTACATTCTGGTTAGGTGCAGTGACTCACTTTAAATGAAACCCGTGGCTGTTTGCTTATAAGCTGTGATCGTATTGGGACATTAGGTTTTAATTAACTGTCTGAACATTTAGGCAAATGAGAATTTTTTGCATTCGAATGTATTTTCTTTTTCCTTATGGTTTGTTGCAAATTCTGGGGCATCTTTCACTAACATAAGTATTGGATCCTCTAAAAAAAATCTATATCGTGGCATAAATGAAAGTTTCAAGATGAGTTACATTCATGTTTACTGATTCTGCATAATTGTTCTTTGTGACTTGGCCTTTGTCAAGCAGAATATGCACATGTAAACTTAATTATGAAGTAATTGATTCTGTAGTATCTATGCTTGAATACATTAGTTTCCTGAAGTAAGTTGAAAAGTAGTTGTTGGCTTTAATAATGGATGTGAGTAAATCTGAACTGAGATGACCAAGTAAAAGAAAGACCATTATTAAAATCAGCCAGAAATCATAGTTGATGACATTAAATGTCGCATGTAGAGCTTTGATTACTAATCAATTGCTTAATTTTTCCTCTCGAGATTAATAAATGTGCTGTTTGATTTTGTTTTTGTAGTATTTCAGCGATCATGAATAAAGGTAAATGGGATGAATGTCTTGATATTTGTTGTGTTTTTCTGAAGTCTTGTCATAATTTTCCTTTGTTCTCCCCCTTTTTCTTCTTGCTTTCCTTTCCTGTCCTTTCTTCTCTCTCAAATCCTGTAGACTTTGCACGTGTTTTTTTTTTGAAAGAGACTGCACCCGTTATGTGAACACTTTTTTAAAAACTTGATCCACGAAAAGACCGTAGGCTAAAGATGTGCAACTACGAGTTAAATTTCAACTCTTTTTTGGTCTCAAGTTCTATGGTTATAGAGTAACAAGTAAATAAATCACACGCACAGTTGTGTGTTTAAAAAGCATTACCACAAGAACCAGCATGTGAACCAACGCGCGAATACTGCATTCGTTTTATTTTGCTTCTTGGTTCAAATGACGTCACTCTTCGGCACTCTGAGGACTAATCTGGCGACCAAAAGTAGAAATCATTACCGCTGTACCATTTATTCTGATGATATCTATGTGTGGGGCCATCCTGTTCGCACGCAGGTACTACACGTGCGTTACATTTCACTCTGACCCAATAGAGTACCGAATTACGCGCTCATGCCTTTCACACTAATTGTGCGCGTGACGTATTCACTTCGGTACTCTATAGGGTGTCGTGACTCGCCATAGTGCACGCGCCCTCAGGTTAAGACGTGTTGAGTACGATTGCCCCCGGGAATGGCGTCTCCTCGGATTTGTCTACAGTTTAAAACTGTCATTTATTGTCATCAACATGCCTCCCAAAAAAGACGAAGTGGTCTCAACATTAGTTTTGCAGAATGCACTTTTGGCACAACTTTTTTTGCTCGTGACGTCATCAAAATAGTGAGTTTTCGTTTGGACATTATCCAATCGTCTGTTGAATGTGTTCTCCAGTTTAGATATGAGATGACTTCATGAATCATGATGGCATCATCGTCAGCTGCCTTTTCACTTTTTTCCTGCTATTTTCTTGTACTGGCACGTCAGATAAATTTCAAACTTTACAGATATAAAATTGTTAGAGAGTTACAATGACGTCATAATAATTCATTATTGATGTTTAAATCTGTCTCGACTTTATTAACGTTTTACACGTTTTCTTACAGGCAACCCAGTAAGAAGGCTTTAAAAGCTTAAAAAAACAGAAAGGCCTTGCATTCCCTGCAACTCTTTGTGTGTGGGTGTGCAGGCTTGGTATACATAGTGTGGACCTCTACGCAAATAAGTCCACATAATGTAGGGTGCGATGTGCAGGGCGAGAAAGTGAAAGTAGGAAATGGCAATCCGTGTCACTGATGAGTTTTATTCAAGTTGTTTTTTGCTGTGACTTGTTTTGCTGTTGTTGGTGATTATATTTTGGTGGTTTTTGTATTAGGGCGACAAGAGCATCGTGGTCGAAACGTCGAGTTCCTACCTAGGCTACTGGTTCTTTTCAAATCCACACTTCTTCTAACAGAGATAGCTCCTTACATGGTGCATCCAAAAGCCTCTTGTCACAGACAAAAGTTAATGTTTACTAATGAAATGATTTTGATTAATCCCTTAAGATGTTATTTTTTTTGTAATTTTGCGTTATTCAATTTCAAGTCTTACGTGTAGTAATATTAGTTAAATCGACGGAGAGCCAGCTACCAGGGAAATAAGCTGCTTGAATGAGAATTTCAAATTCAGCTCTTTTGAAACAGGCCTTTCCGACAAGACATTTGTCTCCCTGAAAACGGTGATATTGACAAGGACTTGCGTCAAAAAGTAGGCTCAAACTTTTGTCGTATATTTTTCATTTTTTCGGATTCGCGTAAAAGTTCCCGCGCATTATCCTTAGTCCAAATACGCATTTCTAGAAGACTACCAAATTTATGTACGTGTACACGTACACGTGTGCAATACACAGGGTCGACTAAGAGTAAGACGTGAATTTTGTTGCGAATTTAGAGCCCGAAAATAAAAAGGTCACACAGCGAGCCTCCGGAATCCTCGCGCGGACCGCCTATGGGGTATTTGACATGGGGCTGTCATAAAATAGTCGATAATTTTTGGAAGAATGATTCCTAACTGATACCACCCCATGAAACACTCATGTAGGGATTTTACCTTTGTCTTCCTCAAGTAATATTCAGGAAAAGTCACCTGAAGATTGGTAAAAAACGAATTTCATTAACGACCGGCAATATCGTTCCTACAATCCTGAACAAAATGTTGGGACGCGTGCCAATATGTGACCCAGGTCCCCCACCCCCCAGTCAATGATTTCATCTCGAGCTGGAGCGCAGATCGCGCATTGAGACCCAACATTGAGAGGGGGCCAGGGGGGTGGGGGCCAACAGGATTTGGTCAAGATTGTAAGTCTCCTTGTTCATGCAAGTTTGTTTTCACTTCCCGTGCGTACTTGAAAACGAGATCGTGCAACGTTGCATTCGCTCGTCGCCCAGCGCCCGGACAGGGCACTGATGGCCTTCCTTGCACAGATTTTAGTGAAGGGAATACATCACGCGGGGTCACAGCTAACGACGCGCAGAGCATGGTGGGTAAATTTGAGCTCGCTCGATGTGGCGGTTATCAATTCAGAATATTTTTCTTTTCCTTCCTCAAAGCTGAAAATATTCTCACCACACTTTATTAGTTCATCAAAAAATCGATCAAGATAGCCAATGATTTGAAAAGACACGTGATCAGTGATTCTTAGTGAGAGGATAAATTACCTTGTTTGCTCCAAGGCCATCTTTTTATCATACAAGCAGCCCCTTTGACCAGTGTCAGAGCATTGCCATAGGCCAACAATAACGATTCGCAACAGGAGGTGACAACCTCGCGGTCGGAGGTCGTGCGCAAAGTAGGCCTACTGTAGCCAATCACAGTGCAAGGCCACCCTTTCAGCGACAAGCGAAAATGTTGCAAAGATTTACCTACGTCGTACGTGCAGTCGATAGGTTCCAGATTCAGTTGAGTTGACATGACGTAGTTCTTGTTAGCAAAGGTTAGATTAAACATAGGAATCCTCCGTAAAGTAGATTATTGCTTTAAATTTTTTTCCGAATGAATTTAACAATTCGTAAAATATTTTAATCTATTATTATTTTGGCGTTTACCAACAAACTAACGTAAAGTTTAATTCCTTAAATTTGTGTACGAGACCGCCGAATTGCACTGGTCGTCGTGTATTTTAGATTTTCGGAAGTGATGGGTCAGTTTTTGGCAGGAGAGTTCTCTGTTAGGTCAGGTTATTTTTCAGTTTCTATAAATCGATATGCTAGCAAATATTTTCCAAAGGCCTTCTTCTGAGTTGAGTTTTTTAAGAAGTAGGCCCTAACTGAAAAAAGAAATACTTGTTAAACTTTTGCACATTCTTTTTCCGATTCATGGGTTTCGGAAGCGCGCCACCAGGGGTCAACTTTCAGGCTTCATTGCAGTCAACATTAGCCAGCAAAGAGCCCGACGTGAATTTTTCAATTTAAATATTGACCTCAATATAGCAAGTATAGTGAATTTGACGTCAGTTTACGATTTGCAATGTCCATTCAAGCTACCATACGAATAGCATGTGAGATTTTTTGTTTGTAAATTACATGCTGGTTACCGAGAAAAGCAAAGATGTAGAAGTTTTGACAAGGTCTTCAGCAAAGTTACATTAACAAAGCTTTTAGAATTTTGACTGGATGTAGAGTCATGCAAAGTGTGTTCTTAAATTCTACCAGTAGGCCTACGTTCTGCTGTAAATACCATTGTGGGGGATGGTATTTTGCAACGGTAGTGAAACAATTTTCAAAGGGGGGAGGGTGTGAGACCATCAGGCATCCACCATTAATAAACCTATCCATAGTACCCCATTGTAGGACCCGCCGAAAGGCGAGGGCACGCCCCCCGTGGAGAATATGGGGGTCACTGGTCCTCTATACGCTCCCCTTCCGCCACCAGTGGTGTCTCAACATGGTCGTGTTTCCTGTTTTCCCATTAAATTAAAGTAGAATGTTTTTCTATGTTGGTTCTGACGGGACATTGCCAATCGTTAGTATTGACGACAGTAATCGCGTCCCCCCCCAAAAAAAACGGACTTGCCCAAAGTCGAAAATTTGACGTCAACAATCACGACAATGACTTGCTATCTGGATCGCTGGTGCTGTCGTCAGTATTTCATAAGACACCCGTCAGTAATAGACGAATCTATTAAGCCCGGACCCATTATAGGATCTGCCAAAAGTTGGGGGTATGCCCCCAGCCCAAAATGTGGGGCCACTTGCCCCTGTCCCCTTCCCCTTCCGCTGATAGTGGTATCTCGACACTGCCCTGTTCCTATGGGCATTTTAAGTACGAGCTGCCGTGCGCACTTGGACCAAACCTCACGCCTTGCTTGCTGGAAATAGATCCGCCACCTAGAGAACGAACTGTGAACGAACTGAACGATTGATGACGTCCCTTCCGAGCCACCATAGTTGTGTGGTGAAGATTCAGAAATAAATTTTCCGCGATCACTATTGTTCACTGAGCGTAAACACGTTATATGACGTCACATTTGTCTAATGGTCATTGCTTCCTTTGCTTTCGTTTCCCCGACACCGGCACCATGCATATCAGCATTTATTTTCTGGAATGCCCGATTCAAGTGCTGCATGTCACAATGACATACTTTTTCGTGTATCGCAAAGTTCACTCCTCGGTCAATGATGTGGTAGCGCACTTGCCTTTCTTTACAACTGTCGGTCCCAGGGTCGGTTGTAGGTCGTTATGCGTATGGGACTGGGGAAGCCTGAATTACACGAACGTGCTTAAACCGCAAAACGGTTGCATAAATCTGTCACGCAGGCAGTGAAAGATTGTTGGTTATTCGCTAATTGCTTCTTGACTGACAACCCAGGTTGACTTGGGTGTCCTGTTGACTTTCTTTGTCTTCACCGCGTATTGCTTACTTCCCAACGATATTTGCACATGTAATAGGAACTGCTATGGTACCAGGATAAGCGGCCTTCGTTATCCTTAATGAAGGCAACATTGGCAACATATAGAAATCATTATGATATTGGTGCAGCCAGAGGGGGT